AAAAAAATGACCTTGACTTATATTCAAGGTCACAGGGGTCAAATATGTTAAAAACATTTTAACTTCTTCTGAAAAACCAAGAGGCCCAGGGTGATAATATTTGGCCAGTAACATGCTGGGATGAAGGGCTACTAAGTTTGTTCAAATAAATGACATTGACTTATATTTAAGGTCACAGGGGTCAAATATGTTAAACACATTTTAACAACTTCTTCTCAATAACCGAAGGGCCCAGGGTACTGATATTGGGCCTGTAGCATGCTGGGATTAGGGGCTACCATGTTTGTTCAAATGAATGACCTTGACCAACTTTCAAGGTTACAGGGGTCAAATGTTTAAAATCTTCAAACAACTTCTTCTCAATAACCAAAAGGTCCACGGTACTGATATATGGCCTATAGCATGCTGGGATGAAGGGCTACCAAGTTTGTTCAAATGAATGACCTTGACCCACTTTCAAGGTCACAGGGGTCCATATGTTAAAATCTTCAAACGACTACCTCTCAATAACCAAAAGGCCCAGGGTACTGAAATTTGGCCTGTAGCATGCTGGGATGAAGGTCTACCAAGTTTGTTGAAATGAATGACCTTGACCCACTTTCAACCTAATGTCCTTGTTCGACATTCAAGGTCACAGGCGTCATATGTTTAAATCTTTTCATAGGTTCTTATGAATCAAACACTGATATTCTGCATGTAGCTGTATTTTAATCCACTTTTAAGATTACAAGTGTGAGATTAATACCAGGTGAGCGATGCAGGCCCATTGGGCCTATTGTTTTAATTGTCAATTCCTGTATATACCCAGGAGACATACAATGTATTGTTTACAATTTTAAGAATCTCACATTCCGTCATTTTCATGCGTTTTCTGTGCAAGAAAGAAGAATTTGTTTGAAACAGTAGTGCTTTAAAATCAGATTCATAGTCATCTAAAACAAAAGTCAAGGCTCTTTCTTGTTATAATTACTCAATTTTTGTGTCGCCTGCGAAAAGCTGGTGACACATAGTATTGCTATGTTGGCGTTGGCATCGGCGGCGTCCGAACAGAGGTTTTCGGACAATAACTTGAGTTTCCTTGGGCCGATCAAACTCAAACTTCATGCAGTGCTTCCTTACCAAAAGTGCTTGCTTGGGATTGCTTTTTTGGTCCGAAGGTCAAAGGTCAAGGTCACTTCCTATAAATAGAAAATCTGTTTTCGTGCGATAACTTGAGTTTCCTTGGGCCGATCAAACTCAAACTTCATGCAGTGCTAAGCATACTTGCATTTTCAATAAAAAAATTATGGATACCAATGAGGTGATGCTGGTCTTGCTTGTGGACACCATATTGGAGTGGAATTGAGACAGTGAGTATCCATAGCAAGTTCCTTAAAACTTCCCAGAATAACAGATTATATAACAAAATGATGCCATCCAAAAACATAATCTATGATTATTGCTTACTTTTAACATTATTTCATGAAATGAAAAGTGTATCTATTTCTTCGTAATCTCCCAGCTTCCTGCGCAGGCAACACATCCACTTCCGAGGAATTCTTGTGTTGGGCGCAGACTGGCTACAAAAATGCCAAATAATTACAACCCAAAGTTAGATACAAAATATATAATACCCAGCCCACAGGTCACAGCTGGTAGTCAATGTACTCACTGTACACTGTTACCTCCAGCCCACAGGTCACAGCTGGTAGTCAATGTACTCACTGTACACTGTTACCTCCAGCCCACAGGTCACAGCTGGTAGTCAATGTACTCACTGTACACTGTTACTCCCAGCCCACAGGTCACAGCAGGTGGTCAATGTACTCACTGTTCACTGTTACTCCCAGCCCACAGGTCACAGCTGGTGGTCAATGAACTCACTGTGCACTGTTACTCCCAGCCCACAGCTCACAGCTGGTAGTCAATGTACTCACTGTACACTGTTACTCCCAGCCCACAGGTCACAGCTGGTAGTCAATGTACTCACTGTTCACTGTTACTCGAGCTCCCAGCCCACAGGTCACAGCTGGTAGTCAATGTACTCACTGTACACTGTTACTCCCAGCCCACAGGTCACAGCTGGTAGTCAATGTACACTGTTACTCCCAGCCCACAGGTCACAGCTGGTAAGCAATGTAGTTACTGCACACTGTTACTCAGTGTTCTCAGTTAGTTTTGATCTAGGTCACGTTAACTTGGAAGGAGTAGTCGGTTGAAGGCTGCAGTCCACATGCTAATAATACAGTAAGCAACCGTCATTTATGTTCAGACCGTCACGTGAGGGAGACACAGTTTGGGGCTTGTACAAGTCTATAACGGGTCCATACGACTTTAAAAAAAAGGTTCTTGTATGGGGCTTGTACAAGTCTATAACGGGTCCATACGACTTTAAAAAAAAGGGTCTTGTATGGGGCTTGTACAAGTCTATAACGTGTCCATACGACTTTAAAAAAAAGGTTCTTGTATGGGGCTTGTAAAAGTCTATAACGGGTCCATACGACGTTAAAAAAAAGGTTCTTGTATGGGGCTTGTAAAAGTCTATAACGGGTCCATACGACGTTAAAAAAAAGGTTCTTGTATGGGGCTTGGACAAGTCTATAACGGGTCCATACGACGTTAAAAAAAAGGTTCTTGTATGGGGCTTGTACAAGTCTATAACGGGTCCATACGACTTTAAAAAAAAAGGTTCTTGTGTGTTGTATTTGGATGCTAAAAACCTTTGCATTCCCCCAAACTGAACCATTTTCTATCAATGTTGCATGTTTGGTCTTTGAGATAGCATGAGGATTCATTCATTCTACGATATGATTGATCGAAATTACTTGCTGCTGTGATTAAATTTACCTGAATCTACTCATTTTCTTCGTTCATATATATAGCTGTGAATTAAAAAGGGGAACACCAGAAATGTTGAGTTTTGTGAGTTTTGAGACATACGACTATTAACGACTACAGTACCAAATACAGTCACGTGAACATCCAGAATGAAAACTAGAGTGGTCGTAGTTACCCGACACACCCCTATACGTCTTCTGAAAATATAGCTCATTCAAAGTTGATGAATAGCAGACTGCTTTGACTAAAAAATTATGAGAACACAGTACCGATACTAAATATAAGATAACTTAAAGGATACTAGAAAGACATACCAGCACGTATACCCGAGATCCAGATTCAGGATTTGAACCCAGAATCTCGGAACTCTAGATGCATATGGTACTTTAGCTAATTGAGCTGGTCAAATTAAAATTAAAATTCTGTTATTACATTGAGCTTTACAGCTGATCTGTATAAGATATACACAGATTACATGGTCACCGGCAGCCACCCAGTCCCACTACAGTATTATAGCTATAGCCAGTTAATAATTGAATGAAGATTCTCAGGGTAACGTATTAACCATTGAGATGCAAAATTACAATATCGTTTTTGTCTTGCTGCCATGAAGTGGAAGTGAGACTTAGGTGTTGCTTTTCTGGCAACGGCGGTGACTCCTAATTTGTAACTCCAAGGTTGCAGCTTTCCAAAAACATATAAATATCTGAAAGAGTGTTTTTCTCTCGTACCCTAACCACTCCAACAAATTAAACATATATCTAATAATGATTCTTACAAATGTGGGGTTTTCATATTGGTTTAACCCAGAGCTTAAAAACCCATAGCTTGACAGGTGCTTTTGGCCCAATTAGACTTCTGATGACGAGATATGTAACACTCTACACCTCTAGATCTGGGCATCAAAATGTTTGTTTTCTATCATGTTAATTATTTTCCAATTTTATGGTTTTGTGGATTTCTGCATTGCAGCAGTGTAAATTTCCTGATTTTGTTAAGCTGATTGTCAATGTAAATAATTAGGGCCCCGTATCGGAGATACAGGTGCCCTATAGTAATCACTCTTTCTGTCTGTCTGTTTGTCTGTCCGTCCACAAATTTTGTTCCTGGCTGATAACTTTGGTATTTATTGACTGATGCACATGAAACATGGTCAAGATGTTCAGTTCATAAAAATACACATTGAGGTAAAAAATCAAGCCAAAGGTCAAGGTCATTAGGTTCAAAGGTCAAGGTCAAATTTTACATCTTTTCACTGATGAACATTTTGTTATGACACTATGAAGCAAAGTTGATCAGAATTAAACAAGGAGTCAACTGACCAAAGGTCAAGGTCATCGGGTCAGGGGTGAAGGTCAAATTTTGTATCTTTTCACTGGTGAACATTTCGCTATGACACTTTGAAGCAATGTTGCTCAGAATTAAACAAGAAGTCAATTGACCAAACGTCAAGGTCACTGGGTCAAAGGTGAAGGTTAAATTTTGTACCTTTTCCCTGATGAACATTTTGTTATGACATTATGAAGCAATGTTGTTCAGAACTTAACACAGAGTCAACTGACCTTAGGTTGGACGGTTACGGGGTCCAAAGGGTCAAGGTCAAGTTTTGTATTTTTCACTGATGAACATTTTGTTTTGATATTAAGAAGGAAAGTTGGTCGGAATTACCAACTGACCAAAGATTAGGGTCACTTGGTTAATGGTCAAGGTCATTTGGATCCAAATTAAAGGTCAAAGACAAAGTGGATCTCTGACTTTGACCCTGGCTCTTGATGAAGGAGGTACATGTATATAAGGTGAAATAAAACAAATCAAAGGTAACACATGAGTATTGCACCAGTATTTACATTTCTGTTAGCCCAGCAAATATGGAGGTGGAATGAAACAAGACTCACATCATAGATCATGTAAAATGTATATTTTGCTTCCTTGCGATTCTTTTTGAAGTCCAAATGTCAAATGTCAAGCTAAGCTATATGGGCAGACTGCTTGTTGATGATTATGGGCGATATATTGCCACAAGACGGGGCCCTTACTGACCTGTCAGTGTTCTAGTTTGTCTTGTTGATTATGGGGGATATATTGCCACAAGACGGGGCCCTTACTGACCTGTCAGTGTTCTAGTTGATTTAATTTTTGAGTACCAAAGCTCCAACTTGAATATACTTTCTTCATGTTTGTAGGTTGTATGCACCAGAAAATCCAGCAGCACGAGAAGGGGAGCCCAGGTAAGCTGTAATGGACAAGTAATGGACAACAGGACTAGGGCGTTTTAAAATTTCAGAAGTCAAATAGAATTTCTCTGAATTTGAAGAGTCAAAACATATATCAAATAGACCAAGAGCCAAATTTAAAACTCATTTTGGGGAGGCACAAACATCAAGAGTTAATTGAAATCTCGATATAATAATTGTTGATTTTTGTGCTTTAGACAAACACCTAAGAAAACATGTTTTGTAGAAAAGGGTGGATAATTAAAATGAATGGAACAGGTCAGAGGAATAGAGTTAAAAAGGTCCACATGATTCATTTCTTGGGATTGGTTTTGGAAATACTACATGCATGTACATCTAACTGTTGTTTATCATTTGGCGGAGTTATGGCCCCTTGAATAATGTGCAATAACTACAACAAATGTTAACAAATTTTCATCAAACTTGGTCACAGGGTTAAATGCCTTGTTCGATGACCACTTTTTTTCTTCAAACTTGGTTCGATTTTGATGAAAATTGGTACATAGGGATATTAGGGGACTGTGAATTCAGCCACATATGTTCCGTTGCCATAGCAACCATGCGGAGGCTTCTGGTTGGTCGAAATTTAGATATTGTTCTATTTTGATGAAAACTTGTACAGTGTATATAGGGATATTAGGGGACTGCGAATAAAACTGCATTAGTTTCGTTACCATAGCAACCACGGATTGCGAATTCAATCGCATAGGTTTCGTTGCCATAGCAACCATATAGTAACCACACAAAGGCTTCTGATTGGTGGAAATTCAGTTATTGTTCAATTTTAATGAAAATTGGTATATAGGGGTAAAAGGGGACTGTGAATTCAACTGCATATGTTTTGTTGCCATAACAACCACATAGAGGCTTCTGAATATTGATAAATAGGGGTATTAGGGGACTGTGAATAAAACCACATAAGTTACGTTACCATAGCAACCACACAGAGGCTTCTGATTGGTTGCAATTTAGATATTGTTTGATTTCGATTAAAATTGGTATATAAGGGTATTAGGGGACTGCAAATTCAAGCACATACGTTTCGTTGCCATTGCAAATACACAGGATTCTGATTGGTTGCAATTTAAAAATTGCTCAATTTCATTCAAATTTAGTATGTATACATTGTAGGTGTACTATATATATGGCAATGCGGTCCTTTTCTAATGCATCTTTGCGACTATGGGGGCAGTTTGGGGGACATCGGTAATGGTCCCCCATTATAATAAGTACTTGTTGCTGTAGATATTGTTAAGATGTTTCAACCAAATTCCTTATGCACATCCAACTCATGCTAAGTTTGCCAACCGATGTGATTTGTGCATATTTATGGATAATCATTGAGGTATAGGGCTTTTTTTCTTTCTTCAATTTTCAAACTATACATTATGTCTCAACAGCACGATACTCGCATGTTTAAACCTAACCTCAATAATGTTAACCTACAATATGTCCTGCAAGCGGGGGATATAAATTCCACGATTTTGCTTGTTAATTAGTTGATATGTTACCTGTAAATGTGCCAAAAAACAAAAGATTTCACCAGGTGGTCGATCAAACTATTAATCCGTAATTGCAGTTTCAATCCACCCTCCGCATTCTGATAAACTAGAATTGAACTTCCATCAATACTCCAGAAAACATCTATTGCTTTGCAGATACATACTTGTCTCTGCTTTGCGTTTAAATGCAAATTGAACTTGATAGTCATTTATTAGCTCACCTGGTCCGAAGGACCTAGGTGAGCTTATGCCATACCGGGGCGTCCGTCGTCCGTCCGTCCAATTGTACAAATGGTGGGGCTGACTCCCCAGGGGGCTTAGTGGCGGGGCCAAAAGGGGGCAATTTGACTATATTGCTACAAACGACTTCTTCTGTAGAACTGTGCATTGGATATCAATCATATTTGAGCAAAAGCATTCCTGGGAGGCAGGGATTTAAAGTTGTACAAATGGTGTGGCTGACGCCCCCCAGGGAGCTGAGGGGCAGGGCCAAAAATCGTATTTGGCTATACTGCTTTAAGCGACTTCTTTTCTGGAACTAAGAAGTGGATATCAACCATATTTGACTGGAAGCATCCCTAGGTTGTGGAGATTCAAAATGGTACAAATGGTTGGGCTGACCCCCCAGGGGGCTGAGGGGCTGGGCCAAAAGGGGGCAATTTTGTTATTTTGCTATTAACGGCTTCTTCTGCAGAACTTTGCCATTTATATTGATCATATTTGGTCGGAAGTATGCATGGGAGGCGGGGATTCAAAATTGTACAAATGGTGGGGCTGACCCCCCGGGCTAAGGGGTGGGGCCAATAAAATGTATTACTTGGAAATGGTTCAGATCCCCACCATATAACCATATATACAATTGCTGAGTATAAAGAGAAGAATGCACATTTGCTTCCAGGATGTCCGTAGGGTCTGGCCCCACCCTTGGAGACATAGTCCCTGGACCATAACTTGAAAACGGTTGAGGTCCCCACCCCAAAATTATATATACAAATGCTGGGCATAAAGAGACGAATGCAGTCATGATATTAGAATTGGTCCCAGGGTCTGCCCCACCCTTGCAGACTTGGCCCCTGGGGCATAACTTTGAAACGGTTGAGATCCCCACCCCAAAACTATATACACAAATGCTGGGCAAAAAGAGACAAATGCAGTCACGATATTAGAATCGATCCTGGGATCTGGCCACAACTCTAGGGACCTAGTTACTGAGTCAAAGCTTGGAAACAGCTGAGATCCCCACCCCATAACCATACATAAAATTGCTGGGCATGAAAAATCTAATATAGCTATGCTACAAGGATTGGGCTTGGTGTCTGTCATATTCCCTTGGTCTCATTTGTAGAATATTTTGCCATGATTGCTTAGGTATCCAGGTGAGCGATACAGGCCCTCTGGGCCTCTTGTTAATATGTACGACTTGACTGTTTGCTGTGTTTTTGCTGACGTCGATTTGGATAGTTCAATCTACATTTTATTTTAGTGACTATAATTTCATGTTATTCCAACAGGATTGACAATATTTATTTAATTTTGTTCGAACTGACCGAAGGTTAACCATAATATATCAATGCAATCATTTTATTTAACAGAACTCAGTGTTGATGACTGTTGGAAGTCGAGTGCTAGCTAGCTTGTAAGGCAGTATTTCCCCATCATATTTCTTAGCTGTTACAACTTGTTCGATGATTAATTTTTCAGATGTAGGGTTACATACTAGATATGTTATGTTTAGTTACTTAAATTAACTGCACGACTTGACACATTTTGCTTCTTAAATAGAACTAAGTTATGTTAGTTTTTGGCCTCGAGTTACAAATGGTACTGGAAAGATTGAACTATAGGATATATGATACACATTGGTCTTTGACAAAAATAGACATGCTCATTTATTTATGAACTGTGCAGTATAACCCAGTGTCATGCATAAAAAAGTTAGGGGAAATAGAGGTAAACCTTTATAATCCTTCTCCAACCATAGGGATAAAGGGATTTTATCCCAATTAGGTCTGGAGCATCCTTAGGCCAAGGGCACTCAATTTTGTATAAATGGTGGGTTTGGCCACACTGGGGGCAGAGGAGCGGGGCCAAATAGGGGAAATAGAGGTAAAACCTTTAAAATCCTTCTTCTACCATAGGGATTAAGGGATTTTATTCTTATTTAGTCTGGAACATTCCTGGTCCAAGGGGACTCAGTTTTGTATAAACGGAGGGTGTGGCCCCAGCCCTCTGGGGGCAGAGGGGTGGGACCCAATAGGGGAAATAGAGGTAAAACCATTGAATTCCTTCTCCTGCAATAGGGATTCAAGATTTTATCCCAATGTTGTTCCCACCAAGCTGTCTAGTACTGCCTGTTACTATTAGGATATATTCATTAAAACAAGATGACCACCAGCTGGCCGCCATCTTGGATTTTGTCATTTGAAGTTTGTTCTTACTATATGAGTATATCTCAAGAAATCCTGGAGGGATCTTTCTGAATTTTCATATGTACATACAGTATACCTACCAAGGAGTGCTATATCTTTACTTCATATCAAGTACTTTAAACATATATTCAGGTGAGCGATACAGGCCCTCTGGGCCTCTTGTTCATAGGGGGTACATATACATTTTTGTCGGGGTATAGAAATCATTCGGGGGATACATTTTGGTTGGGGTATAAAAAGGATTTGAAGGGGATTGAAGAGAGGTTGGATAACGACTCTAACATAACTGTTAATGTTTCTACATGCTTAATGTTTCTACATGCTTACCCTAACCTTATTGTTGCCAGTGATTGAAATTATTTAGGCATAATTTCCTGGCTCTGGGGGTTGGGATTTGGTAAGGATGGATAAATCTTCCCATGTAATCTCCTGTTCAACTTCTGTTTGGATTTTCATTATTGAAACATTATATATTTCATAGGGAGGTACTTTTTTCTACAAGGGGGGTACTTTTTGGTAGAGTATAAAAAGTATCCGGATACTATACTTTTTATGCAGTAGAAGCATTTTATGCACGACACCGGAACTCACTGACAAGTTCAGCAACGTCAAGCATGGTGAGTAGCTGGATGTGTGACGTTACACAGTGTACATATGTACAGCACTCAACTCCAACAGTCATCAACACTGCAGAGAGGAACTGGAACACTCCCATATCCTCATCAGATACATTTCTCCATTTTTGGAGGCTTCTGTTGTTATCAAATTCTAAGGATCATGACATGAAAAAAGGGATACAGTTTGTAAGTACAGTACCTGGGTATTCATTCTTTTATTAAATCATTAACTCTTATTTCCTCAAAAAAACCCCTCAAAAACATAAAACTTATTTGAAAACACCTAGGATTGAGATGAGAACAGTTACTTATAAATGCAATTCATGAATATTTTTTAAGAAATAAATCAGCAACAAATATAATGTAGGTACATTGTGAGGGGTGATGTATATATATATATAGATTGGTGTGGTCAGTTACACTAGACAAGCATAAAGTACGCTATA